CCCCAAAACCCCAAAACCCCAAAACCCCAAAACCCCAATCCTTGATAATAAGAGACATATATTATAAAATTACTTTATATATAATGGAACCAGGTGGGGAGGAAAATTGAAGCATTACCATTGGGCTCTACGATCATAAGAATGCAGGCACTGCGGTGCGATCCCTTATTGATCAGCCTATTAAAGATACCTTCAAGTCACACGAGAACTCACCCGACAAACTAAAGGAGAAAAATGGAGCAATTGAGGGGTACCGCAACCCGATTTGAGACTCTACAACAGTATCATCAAAGAAGAATCCTTCAGCTAGTCCTCCAAATCAGCGCCATGCTGCTGAAGAGATTCCTGTATGTGCTATTGGCGCCAAAAGGAGAACAAAGAAAGGAACAGATAAAGCGAAAAAGTCTTACGAGCAGTCTGAAGCTAGGCCTAAAAAGAGCAAGAATAACTCAGGAAAAAGGAAAAAGAGAAACTACGAGAGTATTGCAAAGACCAAAGCAACCAAGGGACACTTCAAATCTGGCAGATGGACCAAATTGGAGCATTTCAAATTTTTAGAAGCCCTTAAAATGTTCGGAAAAGAGTGGCAAAAAGTACAGCAGCATGTTTTCACTAGGACTTCTACGCAAGCAAGATCGCATGCTCAAAAATTCTTTGTTAAACTGGACAAAAAGCAGCTTACTTTAGACGAATTTTTGAAGAAACTCGACATAGAGCAACTTAAAGTTGACCTCAAATTAGGAGTCGAAGGTGACTCGACTGAATACGATGAGGACCAACCATTGCTCAGAATAGCTAATCAAAAACTTAACTCCGTCATGAATATAGCTCTTCCTGATGAAAAGCAGAAGCAGAAATTAGTAGAGCCGAGAGGATCCTCTGAAAATACTCATATCATCGAGGAACACAAATCGAACCCAAATATCATCCCAGCTGTTGAAGAGGAAGGCAGGAATACTTTGTGTGGTTCCAAAAGATCTACCAAGCAGAGGAAGGCTAAAATGAACCATACTTTCCTGCACAAGAAATACACCCATACCTACGAGCAAGAGACAGCAAAAAGAAGAAAAACTGAAGCCGAAGAGGAAGCTATTGTTGAATGTGACGATGATACAAAGATCAAGATAGCCCCCTATATGATCGAGGATTACAATGCAGAGACTCTTCAAAACGGAAACCAAGACATCACTGGAGTCCATGATTATGGGAACGAAATGAGAAAGGACTCCCATATTGAAGACATCCTTGAAGTCTCTGAAGATCAATTCCCAGATGAAGGGAATAAACCTTTCGAATGTTTTACTCCGTGCCCGATAGACATCCACCAAGATCACCAAATAGAAGATATGATAAATGAAGAGGATAAAATTTGAAACGAGTTTTCTATGATGCAGCAAGACGAGCAGCTTGAATCTCAAATGAACCTCATCTCCGAACAGAATGATCTGAAACTTGACAGCCTCCATTTCTCCATTCAAAAACCACCAAAACATCAAGAATCGTACAAGCTGAATTTAGAAGACGATGACGAACTGAACCTTGACCAGAACCATGACTCACTAATGGGATCCCTGTTGTAGAATTAAAGCAGGTTTAACTTGTACTAAAAATCTGCTTCGTGTCCTAAATCCTCTGTTTTAGAATGAATTAATCTTGCTAGAAAACACATTAGGTGAAGCTACATTAAACACGGGGGATATAAATTAAGCGGGTTATTGCATCCTAGGAGTACCTTATCACATTCCTTTCGTTCAAGTCGCTCAATAGCAGAGATACTTATTCTCAAAGATCCTTTGCATTTTGTTATAGATTAGTAGCAGACAATCGTAGCTCCCAACATCTCCATTTGCTTGATCTAATATCAAGAAATACTTTTAAACAAAGTAATTCTTAGTATTCATTATTATTTTCCCTTAATTCAAATCGAGCAGAAATATTCGGGGTTTTGGGGTTTTGGGGTTTTGGGGTTTTGGGGTTTTGGGGTTTTGGGG